GAGTGTGTCCAAACAAGTGTCAATCAATCCTGTCTTTTGTTTCAAAAATATGTGCTTAGAGGAAATAAAAAGCTTCTTCAGGCAGGAAAGAAAAAAACTGCAGCATTTAAAATGTAGGGCTAAATCATTCATCTTGCAAAAATAGCATGCATAATACTATATTAGTATTTGACACATGCACATAAAAAGGATTCTAATTACTATTAGCCAACAGTGAGCTGTTTCCAGCTCTGTGTTTAATAAGTAAAATAAAATGTTCTACACACCCATGGTTATACAATTGCCACAGACAATAGGTGGCATAATAATAATAAAAAAGACCTTTTATTATTTTATTTGGTCACAAACAACCTTCTTAATGGCATAATCATTTTGCCCAATGACATGTGAAATGGCTGGACTTCTAGGTTTTAAAAAATGCAAAACCTACTTCTGGGGGGTCCCAGCAGCCCCTAGAATTCCCTCTTCCTAGACTTGCTAGCTTGCAACCAGGATGTCAGCACTTTTTCTTTTAAGCGATTGGATGCCGTAGGAGTAGCCATGACTTCTCTTTTCAAAACTTCCCTTGGTCCTCTCATTCCCTGTCTTCCATAATAAGTCCACATTTGCCGCAGAGCTGTTGGGGAGAAGAGATGACAGACTGGGAGAAGGAAGAGACAGAAGAAGCCATGGCTGTCTTGTCTTCAAGACATATCTCTGTGTAGCAACCTTGTAACTGTGGATGAATGAATGTTTCTTTTTATATTCATATATATTTTTGTCAAAGTGTTCAGTTCTCTACTTCTGGTTTTGTAGATTCATTTGTGCTGTGTGTGCTTATTGGATATCTTTATACACAGTTTATACAGTGTTCATACATACAGTATACATGATTTATGTCTAAAATATTGAAGAGCAAATCATGTTGAAAATGCATATATTATAAAAGGGAAATTGAGCATGAGCAAACAGAAATGGTATAAAATAAAGAATTGGGTTCAATTTGTGCAAGGGAGAATGGAAACCAAAATATGGATTTAGAGTTTGAAATGGCAGGGAGCATGAATGCAAAAGCATCCATACCTTTCTCTGCCCCTCTGTCTCCTCAATACAGATTCTAAATACTGGTCACCTTAGGATTGTTCTGCCACAAGTGTGCGTGTGTGCATGTGTGTGCATATGTGTGTGCGTGGTTAGCTGAAGTCTCTGATAAATACAGACAGTAGGGAAGCCATTTTTAGTAGTCATATAAATGGAAGATGTGGAGATTTCAGTTTCAAGATTGGTATTAAGCTTCTTAGTTTGCATCTCATGAAATGATTCCCTTGGAAACACACAGTCTAAGTATTACTGGCAGCAGCTACAGTGAGGGGGGAAAACTCCCAGCAATCAAACATATGTTCTACCATCTGTGCATCTTATTTGCCTGCAAAATGAGTAATCAGAACACAGTCTTCTGTGCTGCTTAATCTTTGATTATTGATTATAGTTCTCTATCTAAATAAGTGCTGGTCTAAATCCCTACTGATATTCTAAGCTAGATAACAAACACTTCTCCCCAGCCCCCATCCACAGTCCATCACTGGATCTTTCAAGCTGACAGTTGAAGGCAAAGCATAGTTCCTCCTCACCTGATTCATCGGCCAACCCAAAGGCTGCTGGATGTTACCAATTTAAACCCAGCAACAGTGTAGACCAGAGAAGATCTTTCTGCACAGAGACATGGATGACAAGGAAGTACTTACGGCTGTCTTGGGGAAATAAGAGCCAATGAGCTGTATGGGAAGAAGAGTATCATATAATGGAAGGCAGAGAGAACAGGAGTGGTGCAGTCACAGGGAGATGGCTGCTTACTGCTAAGGTTCTTGATTTAAGACTGGTGACTGCTAAGAAGGAATTGCAGTAAAAGAGCAATAAACAGTGAAGATAGAGAAGGGCAGGGATTGGATTGCACTGGAGAGAAACGCATAAAAAGAATCATATTAGGGACTCAAGTTTTTTAAAAACAAACCTTTGAGGAGCTTCTAGAGGGGGAAATGTTGTGTTTTCACTAAGGAAATATGAGAGAAGTTTTAAATTTTGCAAGCAGTGGAACAGTGTGTTTTGTAGTGTGTTAGATATTGGGGTGGTGGTGGTGGAAAGTGCTGTGAAGCCAATTTATTGATGTCCATGTAGGGTGGTCTTCTTCTTCTCCTTCTCCTTGTCATTGGCTGACCTAGGCCCCTGCCACACGACAGGAAAAAAGTCTCTTGAGGCGCGGCTTTTAAAACATTGAGGCGCCGTGGCGGGATCCCATGGATCCCCTGGCCGCGGCGCCGTTTCTCCCCGGCGCGATCAAACGCCGGGGAGAAGACATGGCTCAGACCGGGTGCCGGCCGAACTGCGCATGTCGGAGCATGCGCAGTTCGGCTCCGGGCCGGGATTGTGCCGGCGCAAGGGAGCGTCGGTGATCAGACGCCCGGATTGCAGCGCGTCTACTCGATGAACCACCGAGGTAGGTGGGGTCAACTTGAGGCGCTTTTTCCCGGGAAGGTCCAGTTCGGGGGCGGAAGCACGACGCTTCCCAGATGTTGTGGTGTGATCGCGCTGGTTTGATCCGCCCCCGAACTGTCCTGCTCCCGGGCCAAATTGCCTCGTGTGAACAGGACCCTAGAAGAGCAACCCTGGACTTCCTTAGTGATTTCCCATTCTAGCGGTAACCACAGTCGGGTTAGGAATGCAATAATTTGTCAATGACTGAGTTCAAGAGTCAAACTTTCTGTTTTGATTGACTATGTCTGTTTCTGAATGACTTAGATGCCTGAACAGGTTTGCTTCAGGCTTCTGCAGAACTGTGCATGTGTGAAAATTCTGCTGATCTGTACAGCTGATTCCAATAGTCATTAACATCTCGAAGGACTACCTAGTTGAAAACCAAACAGCAGCTTTGGGTTTTTTTTTAACTATATAGCATCTATTTATGATTGGTATTTATGATTTGTGAGTGTGACTGATTAAAATGCCTTTTTAAACAATTGCCTATCAAGCATAGAAGTAGTGCATCAATAGGGAGTAGAGTTCCATTAGGCTGTGTGGGAATGTGCATTTATTTATTTACCTTATAGTCTGAGTTTCTTGCTGAGACTCAATGTAAATTACAAAACTTAAAAAACAATTTAGCAGAAACAATGTACACTGAAACAAGACTATGTTACAAAACTAGGAAACAATGCAGTACGAACAGTATAAGTCATCAGAAAACAATGCAGTAAGAACAAGATAGTACACACAATACATATAGATCAAGGAGGGTAGCCATGTTAGTTTGTCTGTAGCAGTAGAAAAGAGTAAGAGTCCAGTAGCACCTTAAAGACAAACAAGATTTGTGGTAGGGTATGAGCAGTGACTCACGAAAGCTCATACCCTATCACAAATTTTGTTAGTCTTCAAGGTGTTAGTCTTCAAGGTGTTCAATACATATATTTAGGGCTGGGCATGAACCAGCTGATTATGGCCAGTTCGTGGTTTGCGAAGCAATGTTCACAAACTGAAGATCCACCATAAACTTTAATGAATTTTTATGCTGTTCATGGCGGTTGGTTTAAATGGCGAACTGAAAGCAGGGGGAGAAATGGCTGAGAGTCATTTAAGCACCTGCTTTCAGCTCCCTGAGGCTTTCCCCAGGGAGCAGAAAGCAAGGGGCCTTAAACCAAACAGCTGAGTGATGGGGAGCTCCCCACCAATTGGCTGTTTGGTTCAAATGGCAGGGAGCCATGTAAACCTCTGCTTTCTGCTCCCCACAAAAAGCTGCAGGGAGCAGAAAGCAGTGGGAAGCAGAAAGCAAAGGTTTAAACTTTAAATGGTTCACAAACCTATATGAACTGTTTCGATTCACAAACCCAACCTCCCAGTTCATGTTTCAGTTCATGGTTCAGCCACAAACCATGAACCGAATCACAAAAAGTGGTTTGAGCCCATCCCTACATATAATAAATAGTGCCATAAACTATAGCCTTAGTCCCTTTGTAACAATGCCCTCCTGGATGTGTCGATTGTGCTGAACTATAATGTTAGGAAGGAATAATTGACGCAAAATGCTGAACAGACATGAATGCGTAAATGAACAAAAACAGTCCATGGAACAATTGGCTTCCTGTTTGTGACTTGCAGACAAGATGTGAACTGGCTGGTGTTCAAACATCCATATCAGGGGTAAGATTTCTCAAATTTGAGGTGCAGGGGAATGTGTTAGTTGGTTATGGGGATTCTGCACATGTGTCAACATGAAGATTTAATGTAGTCTTATCCATCCCTGGGACCTGTTTTTAGTGCCAGGTATTTGCTGTAAGGTGTAAAGAAATGAGAGGCAAGAATCATCAAGCATGTCCAGAATTCACTATTAGGAAACTTCAACTTAAAATCTGTATTGAGATTAGGAGGCAGAGCTCCTAGAGCAAAATGTGAAGCTTCCTAATAATTTAAACCCTAACACTTTTCTCTGCTGTGGAGGATTTAAAATTTGGGTCTTATTTTTGGCAGTAATTCAGGATACTGTGTATTCTTAAATCTGAACTAGTGAACTGGAAGAGAGAATGCTGCAATGTTACACAATCAGCATTGGACTAATCCCCCTATTCTTCAGACATAGCCTGACTGCAATTTAAATTGCTTTTTATGTGTCATTCCTAATGAATTTTTGCCTTGGAAAAAAATGAGCTTTTTGCAGCTGTCAGGAAGGTAATTGTGTATATTTACCAAATAGCTCTTTGGTTAGGACTTCTGTTCTCAGATCTTACTTTTAAAGTTAAGATCTTCATAATAAATAAAGACTATCAAAATTGTGTGCTGCAGTTGAGAAAAGATTAATTTTTAGGACATTCATTATTTTCAGTTCAAAGGAAATGTTTTGGATTTGAATGGAAAACACCAATGGCTGTTTTATTCAAAGGCAGATGAATTTAGATAATAACACACAGGCATTTCAGGATACATTTTTCTGTATGCTTTCCCCTTCCTTATCTCTTTTATTCCATTTTCAATAGCAAATTACAGTGTGTGTGACTTTGAGTCTGAGGAGCTATGTGAATGGAAGACATTAAGCAACAACGATATACCTTGGGTCGTGATGGAAGGACAAACTTCCAAGGGTCTCGGTCTTCCTACAAGAGATCACACTACTAACAGTGATAAGGGTGAGTCTTGATGTAGCACTTGTCCCCTCTGTTGTGAAGTATAATTTAGAGTTTTTAAAAAAGTATTCAGATGTATAACCTTTAAAAAGTATTCAGATATTCACACGGAGCATTTGCCGCGCTAAAGAAACGGATGATAGGGGGATTTTCCGGGCGCGATCACACCGCAACATCTGGGAAGTGTAGTGTTCCCATGGCTAACCCGTGGCTTCCCGCCGAAGATGCGGATTAAAAAACTAGTACCTACGAGGTACTAGTTTCCGGAAGACGTGGGGCAAGGGTGGGCGTCTGATCGCGTCCCGTCCTAGTCCCGTCGCAAACCGGTTACTTTTTTCCCCAGTCTGCACAGGATGCACACAAACAATCATACGCATGCTCACCTTCTGGTGAAAAACAAAATATTCCCGATTGCCATGGAAGCGGCGCCTAGCGATTGCTGGTGTGATCGCGCCCCACCGCTTCTTTGCCGCGCTGCAGGAGAGCCATGAGATCGGCACCTCCTGCCCTAACCACGGGACCTCGACAAGATGTGTGATCAGGTGGCCGCACGTTATTTTGCTCCGGGGCAAGCAGCCATGCTTCCCCCCTGCATTTTCCGGCCAATGTGACCGGGACCCTAATTTCTTAACTGTTTCTACAAGAAATCCACCATTCAGATTCCATTTCATTTGAACATTTTTGGAACAATTGGCATGATTTAGAGACAAACTGGATAAAGCAGAACAGTGGAACAATTAGTTCATTACAGCTATCAAAATTCAATACTGCTATCAGTCTGATCTGCAGCACTATTGTGCTGCAATGAAGAGAATATTGGTTCTCCTTGCAGTTCTCTTGGAAGGTTTGTCATGGTTGTTTGCCAGTGAATTTCCAGATGGATTGTGTCATTCTGTTCTTGTCTTTCCATTGTTGCAAGATGCATTAGAACTACCCTGAAACCTATTTAGGTCATGATAGGTTCTCTTAAAAAAGAATTTCAATGCAAAGTGCGGAACTAGGATTTATTGGGAGATTTAACACTTTCTCCACCAGGCTTAAATAGGGACTTGGGTTTCCTCAGTCATTGTAGCTATTAATGCCTCGGTATGGCCTGTCCTTTACAGATGTTGATTAATTTTGCTTATCATGTTTTACCCTTGCACTTCCTTGATTACGTCTAATTCTATGTTCATCCTGCTCTGCCTATCTGTCTACAGTTGGGAATGATCCTCATCCAGTCTGGATGGATTGAATTCTCTTTGATAGGTTATTGTTTCTAACTAACTTCTCTTTATAACATCTCCCTATTTCTACCTTTCTGTCACTTGTAAGTTTAAGTATAAATATGCATCTGATGAAGTAAATACACAAAACCTCATGTTGCAGTAATTTTGTTAGACTCTAAAGTGCAACTGGACTTCTGTTTAATTTTACTGCAACAGACAAACACACCTCTAGACGTATTTCTGTCAAAGGTACTTTGCCATAAGCCACAAGTAAGTGTGTTAGTGCCGGGCGTAAGTGTTATTCTCAACTTTTTACTCACTGAGTGGAGGTAGATAACTATCTTGGTCATATGCAGTCCTAAATGTCATTGATATTAATTGGATTTATGTACATGTAAATAAATGAAGCTGCCTTAGTTTGGGCTTCAACAGTTTTGATTCCTTTGACTGGTGGTAGCTCTCCAGGGTCTGAGGCAGACTCTTCTTACATGCTACCAGCAAGAGCCAGTGTGATATAGTGGTTAAGAGCAGTGGGCTCTAACCTGGAGAACCAGGTTTGATTCCTCACACCTCCACATGAAACCTCTTCGGTGACCTTGGGCCACCATTTTTTCAGAACTCTCTCAGCACCACCTACCTCAAAAGATGCCTGCTGTGGGGAGAGGAAGGGAAGGCAATTGTAAGCCACTTTGAGACTCCTTAGAGTCATCGACATCATCATCTCCTCCTCCTCCTCCTCGTTTGAATCTATAACCTTTTGTATGCAAAGCAGGTGCTCTATCATGCCCCTTGCTCCCAATATTCTATGGATTTTTGTATTACTGTCCAGTTTCTCTAACTGTTAATAAACAAGTCTTCGATTTCCCTTAAAGTTTGGCTGCATTTTCACTAAGGCAGTGGCAACAGCAGCTCAAACTCTCTGCTTTCTAAGATGTTATCCTTTCCTATCTTGAGCATATCTGTGGTGGTTCAGACTCAAATGCTGATAATTTGACACTGTTCCGATTAGATCTTTAATTACACTTTCTCCCCCACAAGCAGAAATAACTATGTCAAGCTTGTGGATCTCTTGAGAAAAATGCAGCTTCTAGCATTGCTTCCCATTATTTTCACAAATACTAACATGCTATAAACTGGCAGTTTGTGAAAGGAAACTGAAATAGTGTACACGTTGGATGCTTCTCTGTGACTGAGAATAGATGACTTTTTGGAGACTGGGAGGCGGAAACCTAGATGCATTATTGACCACTGTACCTGCGTTTCTTCTTGTCTCAAATATTTTCTTTTACATTTTCTTAGCACTTTATCAGGTTTTTAGGAGAAGCTGAAACTAGTTAACAGCTGCAGTGTGACAACCTATGTGCAGTACAGTCTGTATTGGATAGTGTATTGGATACCATCAATGACATCAATGACATCAGTGATCAAAGATCTCCCCCCACCTTATGCCAAAAAACTAGTCACATTAATCTGCAGCGTTTATATTACCACTATTCTTCCAAGAATATCAGTGCATCCAAAAATGGACAGGAGGCTGTCCTGCCCCTGAGGGGAAAAACAGTTGCCCCCACAGGGGAATAACGAGACCGACAACCATTTTGGATTAAACAAGGGCCACTTTATTAATTATATACAATTTGGGACAGCAAAAACCCGGCAAGGGAGCACTTCAAGATTAGCGGAACAGACAAGGCAGGTGTCAGGCTGACCAGCCTCCTTGTCTGGTACAAATGGGCGATGCACCAACCCCGGTCCTGGGCCATTAGCCTGGCTTGCGACCAGCAGCCTAGCCGCGGGTCGCCTCCTAGGAGCGCCTACCCCTGAAACCTTACAGTTTGCAGAGAGGTGCTTTACCCAAGAGGCTCCCCTAGGGGGTCCCCATTTACCGACTCCTTGTCTGGTACAAATGGGCGATGCACCAACCCCGGTCCTGGGCCATTAGCCTGGCTTGCGACCAGCAGCCTAGCCGCGGGTCGCCTCCTAGGAGCGCCTACCCCTGAAACCTTACAGTTTGCAGAGAGGTGCTTTACCCAAGAGGCTCCCCTAGGGGGTCCCCATTTACCG